GAGAGAGAGAGAGAGACGTTCCAACATATTCTTTATTGGAAAGCTCTCTTGGATATATAACCATATTTGGTTCGTTTTACCAGTTCAGATTGTTATCTTGAATCTTTGATTCAGCTACGTAGCATTTTAACACGACGCATGGCACGATTAATAGTAAAGTCGGTGAATTTCAAATTTCAAATGACGTTAAATGCTTATGCTTTAGCTTGAGTTATACGAATAACCTAGACCTAGACTAACCGATACTAGATAGGCATCAAACAAATGCGTTCTCGTATTAGCGACCATTTGCGTTCTTGACTCCTTTCAGAGACTGCGATCAACGAGCTCATGTGAAACAGTCAAGAATTTGAAATGCGGTCACGGCTTCGCGACTCAATGAACTCTATGTGTGTTACATAAAGCCGAAAATGATTGTGAAATTCTTTTATACAAACATAATTATAACGTAATTGTAAGATATATAAACATAAATATAAGATATATGAATTTGGACATATATTTTCTACATTTTCAAGTCGAGTATAAATTTACATCGATAGAGAAGTTATAGAATTACCTACCTGCAAACAAGCCTACCTAACCTAATAGAGTTTTTTCGATGTATGCAACGAGAGTAGGCCAGGTCCACTATTAGGAATCATGACGAGATCTATAGAAAGGCGAAGTTTTTTTATATTTTCTGGAATGCACTTAACGTTTAGTCAGTTATCATTTAATCGAAACACAAACATGCTTTTCGCGGTCTGCAAAATCAGCATGTCATATGTATTACGATACGTTTATCGTTTTCAAAATGATTGAAAATAACTTTAAGCCAAATACTGTCGAATCTTATCCTCTCTATGCAAACTTAATTTTACGCGGTTGTTTTATTTCCGAAAAGATTTTTTACATTTTCGAAACTGTTAAATGGATAATATCTGACAAATCAATGATCGGGGCCAATATTCCCTATGAAAATAATATCTATTTTGCATGCAATTGCATAAAATCAAGTCTGTGATAGAAAAGATAAAGGAAATAAATGAAGTGAAGAATATCGGTCGGTGATAGTTACATTTGGAAAATTAATATAATTAATATAAAACTGTAAATAAATTATATAACTGCTGTATTCTACAAGCTACTTTCAACAACATAATGATTCATATATAACTCCTATTCGCGCGCGAGATCGCACATACATACAAGAACAAACACAATTGCAATTTTATCCTGCTTTCTCTCAAATCGTCTTTGTCATCTCTTAATGTCACGTATTAATATGTGAAATCTCATCATTAATATAGTTATAAAAGTTGTAGCTTTCGTAAATAGTATTAAAGTTACTTGTATCCTAGTTAGCCTACACCAGTTGTCTATGATTAAGAGATTATTCCATGAGATGATTTAACATAAGAATTATAGTTGCTTTTATTCACCAACTTATCGGAACTATTCGAGAATATTCAAGTTTTATTAACGAGTGAATCTAAAATCGACATACGTGTTTGAAATCGAACCGAAAAAACGAGAATTTCACTTTTTCATGTGACATTCATCGGTATATCGAACGTGGAAATTGAGAAAAATTAAATATCTTTATTTATACACAATCATAATCTTACACGCGTTTCTTTTTGTTTCACTTAATCGTTATTGTCGTCATTTTTAGTGCTAATAATATCTTTTGGATGATTTCTTAACCAACGGTTATTCTTTCGCAGGTACGAAAAAGTGGATTGGTACGATTTAGATAGCGATGAAGGAGGCCATCAGGGGAGAATCGACCTAGAAGAAAACCTGCTTCTGCCGTGACACCTGTCTCTCCATTACACACCATACGCGCGCGCGCGCGCGCGCGCGCGCGCGCGTGTGTATGTGTGTGTGTGTGTGTGTGTGTGTACGTGCATGTGCATAGGCATTCCAAGAGGAATGCAAAATGATGATGTAAGGCGCCATACAAGTAGTCCAACGTCACAACACAAACGTGTTTTTACCTAGAAAAAAGCCATAATCCATTGTACATACATATATAAATATTCATATGCGTCATAAACAAATTTTTATAAATTCATAATATAGAATTTGAAAAGTATCTTGTTCAAGCTTTATGATGTTTGTTGCAGTCGTGAAGAAATCGATGAGAGACGTCTGCAGTGGGCACCACGCCCAAAGCGAGGGAGCTCCGCGACAAAATTTAGGGATTTATAAAGCAACTCCTATAATGTTGTATCAAAAATGATATAAGAAGATAAAGCAGCTTCATCTTGACTCATATGTTTATAAATGACTCAATTTAATCTGATAAATTTATCTAGTTTTCAAAAGGACATCACATTGCTCTTTTCCAATGGAAAGTACTCTATATAAATTATAATCATCATGGCGTAAAATTTTGGGAACATTATTTATTGAAAAATCGTATTTTGTACTTTAAAATAGATATCGCAGTGATGCGCTGTCTTTTTAATGCTCTTTTATAATTTCTGTTCTTTTAATCAATACTAATACTAAAAAAGACATCTCACATAATATGCTTCTTTCTTTTCTTTTCAAATTAATAAGACAAAAAACAATAGGCATAATGTGAAACTTGTTTCGTTTCTCAGACTGCGAATCATCGAGGAGAAATTGGCCGCACCAATAAAGTCAACGACTTGGTGGCTTGGTTTAATTAACCTGAGACGACGGCCATGTATTTTCACGGCTTTAGAATCAAGGCCACGTACGCGCACGTTTCACAAGGTTGACCGTACAACGCGTCGCGTGAACGCAAGAATTCCTATTCCTCCCCTCCTTCCTCTTTCCCTTCCTACCTCACTCCTCCCCCTACCTGCTCTCTCTCGCCTTATCCGTCTCTATCTCTCCTATTCTTCTTTCTGAAAAGTAATTTGCAAATGATTAATCTCAGAAGAAGTCTTGTACGGAATGTGTGTAAAAAATTAAATATTGATCTATTTTCAAGTTAAATTAGTTGACGAGAATATCAAGAAAACATGAAGAAATTATGAAGATTTTTTTATATAATAGCATTTGTTAATTGCAACGTGATTTTAATGTTGCACGTAGATTAGATGGTAGGATCGCAAATTTTATCAATAATCGAATTCTCAGACATCGACATTGATTGTTTTTTAAAGTTGGAAAACCTTGTAATCTATAAATATTTTAAACGTATTATTCATGAATTTTGCTGTCAATCATTTATTATTACAGTTAAGAAGATTATGATGTTAATATTTATAAGCACCAATTCTAAACTACAGTACTGGAGATTAGATTCTTAAAAAATGTAACATTTTTGTAAATTTTTATAAGTTTCGAGTTCGAGATAAAATATAAGATTTCCCCTTTTTGTGGCGGGATGTAATGCCAAGGCAATATCCTCCGGATGTCGGCATCCTTCGAGATAAAGCTTAAATATGATTTTTCCGTGATTCTTTTGTTCATGCTGTTGCGATATTTACCTATTAGACAATTAATTCATTGACTTTATCAAAAGATTTGCGCGCAACGATCGGGAACGATTTATTGCTTAATGACTAATGAAGGTTTAATTCTGATGCATCGAATGCAGCATACAAATGATGTCAAATACTATAATCGCTTTGTGAGTTATGTCTAATTACGAATTTTTGTCTTTTATTATAACAATGCAAGTTCTATGATCATAAGTATGATTATGATTTTAAATATAATATATACATTAATAAATATATACATTTTATGATGCATGTATTATTATGATAAATACATATAATTTATTTATTAATATTTTTATAATTTAATCTCTTCATTATCCGCAGTAATATATAGCACTTGACCCGCTTGGATTTTATCAATGTACCCTTATAGAAACGTAATTTAATATAAACCAATTTAATATTAAGAATTACTTTAAATATAAAAAATTCTAACACTGCTTTTGATACTCGAAATAAGTAATTGATCACTACCTTCCAATATTAAATTTTTGTAAAGGTAATGAAAAATTATAATAAATTTTTGTATATTGTACGTGTGCGTGTATGGTGTGTGCACACGTGCGTGTGCGTAGTACAATGTAAAAATGACGTAGATATGTGTAATTTTTACATGTATATGCAACTTTAAATTTCAGATAGGAATATAATTTGACCATTATGATATAACTCTTTTCTAGATTTTCTTTATTTGTCGTATAATTGCATTTGGTATCAACGCTTACTAACCAAATACAGCATATTTGAATATCTCTCCATATGCGAATATGTGTCAGGGTTTCCATGTGAAATTTTTTCTTTTTTTGATCAAGTTGTATATTATTATATTAGAGTGGACGAATTGAAACGTGACGTAGCATTTATCAAAAAATGCTAATATTATTATTAAAATCATTCTGTACGCAAGAAAAATGTAGTTTTTCGCTTATTTCGATAACATCGAGACAGATTATAAATTTGAGAAAAATTAGACAAAAAGAAAATGCAAGTGCAAATTTCTTATTCTATCTTTTGTAAACATAAATCAAATAAACTACAAATAAACAATTTACAAGTTGTATTAAGTATTACCGTGATTTATAAAGTGCATAGAATCAATTTGGGATATACAGTATTCATGCTTGATAATGAATTTTTTGCGATTGAAAATTGTCCCTTGCCATTTTCTTTCTCTCTTTGTCGTTTTCTCAGAAGTTCTACTGATAAAAAGAAATTACATGTATACTTGTACTATTTAAAATAAAGATTGACTGAAAAAAAATTTTCTAATATGACACATTTTTATATATCAGAGATCTGTAAATTATATTACAGAATAAAATTGTAATGTAAATTTTATACATTTACCTAAATGTGTGTAAAGGATCAGATCAAGTGTTGTCAAATTTCACCAATATGTTTGATACATTAATTTTCTCATTAAAAATAAATTCGCCACGGCACAAAACATGGAGCCTCCATGAGATTCGAGACCTTATCCTTGCCCAATATCGTCATCGTACTGCAATTATCACAATATGAATCATCTGTTAAACAACATTAACACTAAAAGAAGATAAAACTAATACAACGCATATATTGTGAAACTTGTGCTAATAATTTGACATAATAAATGCTTACAAAATGCTTTGTAAAACATAGTCTATAGCACTTGGATATATCCATCAGTCATCTAAAATCGCTGATACACACGAAGCGCAATAGAGGAATCTCATGTCGCTTTCGCATCCGATAACCATGGCTGTGAAAGATTTATTTGGATTCTGACAAGCTCGTACTCCTTCTATGAAGGATTCCTATCCATTCGATTCAGATCATCATCAAGGGTGATCAGGCTGGTATAAGTCATCGCTAAATGACCACATTGACACTCGGGCACTTCCAAGATAATTTAGATTTTTAATTTGGAATAAATTATCAAAGAAAATTGATCCTTGATTTTTTGAAGAAGCATTTCATCTCCAATCTTGAACCTAGAACAAAAATTAATCGAAAAAAAGAATCGGTCCAACACATCTATAATCATAGTGTGTATATAGATAAATTATTTTCCATTTTATAAGAATGTTAGTTACTTATCTGATATTTATCTCTTTTCCATTTGTTTTTCATTTTCTTTTTCTTTTTCATCCTTGTTTTTCTTTTAATATATTTTATATTTACAGTTAGAAAATACTTATTACTTTATATATGCACATGTCATGTAACATATGTATATACACATGTCAACAGAGAAACAAACAGGCTTCCGCAACAGATTATTACTTACATAGTATCATCAATTCACAGAAATTAAATTGTGTTGTAAGGATTTTTGTTATTACCAACATTATGCCCTCTTTTTTTATGAAAATGTCGTATTAGGGCCTACGCACAATGGAGAAATTAGGAATAAAAAATATTAAATTTTGAAAATAAAAATACGAAATAAAAATTAAATACAAGACACAATAAATATAAATAAGTATAAAATATAGTCATATCTTATACTTACTTGTATTTATTGTGCGTTACGTTTAATTTTTATTCTAAATTTTTATCTAAAATTTAACATTTAGTCTTATTCCTAATATTTTCTCCATTGTGCGTAGGGTCTAATCCGCATCTTGGATGCATCTATTTTTATGTTCTTTGATCGTACATTTTATTGATTAGACAATTAAATATAAAATTTTCTGATTGCTGTCCACTGGAAAATTCCTAAGTACCGGCCGATGTGAATGGACGTGTCCAATTGCAACGTGGTCAAATGGAACATGGCTTTCATGAAAAAGCACTATCTATGTCTTCGGTATTTTTTGCGTGTATGCAATCAGCCTGGATCCTCATGTAGACACCGGCGTTTTGATACTGAGCGCTGATTGGTGAAAAACGGATAATAGGGGTAAATAGTAAAGATTCATTTGCCGTTTTATCCCCACTATTCATTTTTCACTAATCAGCATCATTGTCAAAGCGCTGGTGTCTGCATGAGGATCCAGGCTCAGTTGTCTGCACGCAATGTTGACAATTCATGAGTTTTACGATTTGAGAATTTCAAAGAGGAGGTTAGTTTTTTAATGATTTATCGTAATATAAATCTCATCTATTCATCGGATTCAAAGACTGAGAGTTAGTGATTGTATTTTATATTTTGTAGTAAAATCTTGGAATATAATCGATTGAAATATCGCAACGTCGACAAGAACCGTAGCATGTATCGGTTGAGAAAATATTTTTGTTGAAATCATCGTGGAAGAGTTTGAACCATATCATCAATCATGACCAATAGGTTTGTTCTTTGTTCAAACAATTTGTGATATAATATGCAATTTCATACGTATAGATATATACAAGAATATATAAGAGAAAAAGAACTTGTAAAATATAGTCTTAGTTTTTAACAATATTTTAACGATCATATCATCATACATTTCATGTTAATCCTTTAGAAAGAGACATCGCAATATAGAAGAAGAGTCTAGCGAATTTATGCCATTGAGTAAACGAATTAATAATCTTCATATTAATGGCTTATCTGGTTTGCAAGAGAACACAATAGAGAATGTAGTGGAGAGCATGGAGACTGATTGGGAAAGTGGAAATTTCGTATCTTCTCCAAGCTGCTCAGAGATGTCTCAGAATTCATCACCTGGAGGTAGCTGTGGTTCTAGCCAAAGCAATTTTACCAGTGATTACAGGCCAGATTTAGATGCAACGGAGAATCCTTTTTATTATGAGAGCAATAAACTACTTTTTTCCTTATACATGGAACGTATGCAGAGGAGACCGGATCTGTATTGATAGATGCATGTTTTTGTTCTGCTTTTTCTGAAACATCTCGAGATTCTGCCATTATCATTCTCATATATGACATTTTTGATAGGTTTCGATTCTCTTTGCCATTATAATCGAGTCATGGCAAATAAATTTGGCAAAATGGAGCAACAAAATTGATATATAAAATTTTTGTAAAAGGCAGCATTTTATAATAGAAGTAAGATTTGATAATGTACAATTGTTAGAATAAGTATCGTTTGTTTTTATTAGTGCATAAAATTGTATGTAAGTGAAAGTATGTGCGTTATTAATATGATAGCGGTAGATGCGGTAATGACGTTGTTTTATTTAAATTATGTTATAATTTTTTTCTGTACGTCTTATTAAAGGCTAGGTTTATGTTATGTTCGGCGAACGGTAATTTGTAACGGCTAAGTAATTCGTCTGAAGGTCTAGCAGTAAAAATTAATAATAAGTCCGCTCACTGATCGCTTGTTTCGCTGAACGTAATTATTGAAATATACCTTGTTGGCATGTACGCACATGAAATGTTTATCAATACGCGCGACATTTTGGAACATATACAAAAAAATCGGGATAAGACAAGGGCGCAAATAAAAGACAGATGAAAAAATTTAGTTTTAAAAGAGTATATTTGCATATGTGAGAGCATAGAGAATTGATACTTCAGGAGGAGGTGTTTCGTAAAAGTGCGCGTGTTCGAATCGATAAAGATGACAGGGAAGGTTAATGTTTCGGTTTTCCACTTAACCTCTAGTGTCCACTGGGTGCGTGTGAGAGTCGAATAGTTTCACAATCGTATAGGCATAATAGAATGCCAAAAGAGAAGATGGAATGACGACAGGCAGGTGTTTAGGTCGTGCGTGAAATAATTTGGCGTGGAAATTTAGCAGCGCGACGCGTTACTTATGAACAAAAACATCAGCTTGCGGGGACATTTAATTGGCAAGTACGCGCAGGCGCGTCCCTTGCTTCTAGGGATTCTGTGCTCGAAACATAGGCTGCGTTCCGATATTCATTGTCAGTACTGAAAATCTATATAATATACGTGACCTGAACTATATATTTTTAGTACTGGCAGTGAATATCGGAACACAGTCGTACTCTACACGTAACCGCCGCCATAGTTAATATTTCAGCCATTGAAATATTTAACAGCTTCAGAGAATATATACGTTCCCGCGTCTGAATATCCGCTCGGTTGAGAGGCCAATCGCAAAATGAGGATCTATTAGCGACGCTAATGTGTTTGAACACATGGTTGTGACGAGGAGCGTATCGCCAATCCAAGCATCGTGTATATAGAAATATAGAAATCGTGCGCGCCAGCGCGACTCCGTCAGACGAGTGGCGCTCGGTATTCGGATATTCGTCACTTGCCACTCGTGAAGTTTGCGCACGGCCACCGTAGTCAGGCGGCTATGTACCGTTAGTTTGAATCTATTCCCGTTGGCCGGCTTGAGCGAGATCCACGCTCACTTACCTACCGACCGAGGAGAGCCGAGTCATATTCGATCGCAGTTGGTTGTTGCAAACCCGGAAACGAAGTGTGCGCGTCTCCGTTCAACGAGAGCTTGGTGCTCGCCCGAGAGAGAGCGAGAGAGAGAGAGAGAGAGAAAAGAGAGAAAGCGAGAGAGAGAGAGAGAGAGAGAGAGCGCGTGGCAGTGTGCGAACGCGAATTTATCGCGGAGTCACTCTCGAGCTCTCCTCGAGCTTCCGTTAGAGACACGCGCGCGCGTTCGTCCCAACGTTTCTACGTATATGTATGACGTGTGCATCAGCGACAATCGCAGCTCAACGTCGGTCAGCGTGTTCACGTTAAAATGAGAAAGTCGTTGCCACTGCGCTGAGGATTGGGAACGACGACGCACGCGAGTCAGCCAGACGGACAATTCTCGTACTAAGCGGAGGTACGGAGAACGAAGGCAGCGACAGTAACAGTGGTACGTTGAGCCGAGTGTGTACTCGGAGAGTTGTGGCTGCTTGCTCACACTCGTTCGTTTGCTCTTCCGCCTAATTGCCTGCCCGTACTTACGAGTAAGTAGAACAAAGTCGTAGAGAAAACTACCATTTTCTTCGTACCTTGATCACGCTTGCAATCTTCCGTCTACATTAGATGTACGTAGTTATACTAGAGGTGTGTGCGTATGTATATTACAAATCTACATATACACATACACATATAATATATATATTTTTTTTGCGTGTATGACCATATGTCTTATCCTTTCTGTCTCTCCCCCTTTCACTTTCCGTATCTCTATCTTTATTTCTCTGGCTCGATCGTCCTCTCGATGCGAACGGATGTTTCGGTCAGCGGTACCGCCCCGTCGGTGCCATGTCGCGCTCGATTCTTCAACGACGAGACCATACACGAGAAACCGCGAAACGGTGGCCACAGAGAGCACCCACCCCAAGACACTAAAATCGTCGCGGGGCCCTCGTCGTGGCTCACGGCTTGGCTCGAGCTGGCTTTGGTGGGGTGGTTGGAGGTGCGGACAGTGGTTGAGAGGCTGGTGGGGTTGGAAATTGCGTGGTGGTGGGTGTTCGTCGAGGTCTCGGAGGCCCCTCCGTGGCATCTCGCTGCCTCTAACCCATCGAGGTGGGGGTGTAAACAACAGCCCTGCCCGTGTACCTCGGTCGTTTCGCCTCTGCCCTGCTCCCGTCAGCTGATGCGTCTTTTGCCGCGCGTACTGTCTCGTCGATCTTTTTCCTATTTCCATTCTTTGCCTCGGGTATGGTTGGCGTAAAGGCAACGATCAGGGGGCCGAATAAGAAGGAGTCCAGAGGATATTCTCGACGCGCGTCGAAGAAGAAGGGATTTCGTGATGTGTATAGAGCGGGAGAGAAGCACGAAGAGGGAAATGAAGCAATAAAAAGAGCGCGGTAGAATAGTACTATTTTCTCACGCGCTCTTACGTGGATCATTTTTTCCAATATGGCGGCGTATAAACGAGCTACGCCTCGCGCGATTGACCGACGCCGCTGGTCGAATCGATCAGGAGGATAGCCCTCTCATAGGATAGTTCTCTCGGTGCCCCCCTCCCCTCCTTCATAATTTTACAGCAGCTTTAACGAGCTCGCTGTCGTTCCTACGCTTGAAAACTCCAAAATGCAATTAAGCTCCCGCCGATGGAGATCGCGAGAGCGTACGGGGCACGAGGAGTTGGGAGCAGGCGGAAAGAAAACGATACCGGGACACGTTGCGCAATGGACGCCGATCCGCTTGGCGTGCAGCGTCCCTCGCGCAGTGATATCGAGACGCGCGGATGCGCCTCTGACTCGCCGAGACGAATTTCGCGAAAAATTCACGTACGTGTCTTTGCGATTCGCTCGAGAGCTCGATAGATATAGAGATGCGTTTTAACGCGCGAGGGAAGGAGAAGCGGGAGAAGGGAGAGAAAAGAGCGAGGGAGGGGGGAGAGAACGTACGAGCGAGAAACAAGGATAAACTTAGCCTCGGTTAACCTTAGGAGAATCGGCCATTACGACATGCGCGTCTTGCGAAAGCGTCTAGCGGTGGATACGAGCGACAACGGAGCTATCCGATCAGTCGCGTACGCCATTCCGCGTACGACGAAAAACACGTCGCGTGGTGTCGACTGTTGCCGACGGCGAGTGAAGCGTAACGCTCGCGCCTGTCCCCGCGAGAGCTCGAAATTTATCCAAGGAATCTTCCTTTCCCTCTCTTCCTCCTTTCCTCCCGCTGCCTCTCCCGTTCTCTCCCTCCTTTCGAACTCGTACGACGGAACGCGAGCACCCTTTGCCCTCGGAAGAAGACCCGCGCGCGCGTACAGGCGGACGGCGTATACATCCACGCCTATAGATATCTTAACCTTTTCCTCTCTTTTCGTCATCGACCCCGGATCCTGTAAACATTTCCAGGGGTGGGGATCCTCGTTGCCGTTGGTATCGTTATCATTGTCATCATTGCTCCAATTCGTCTGGCGCGCGCCGCGTCTGGCCGTCCGCCACGGGTACCTTCGCCCCCTGACGTTTTCGCGTTCCCCTTCCCCGGGGAATGGCGGTGTGCCGAGGTTCGACTCCCTTCTTTCTTGACGTTCCCCTACCCTTGCCAGTTCGCTTCTTCTTTCTCGTTCCATTCTCGCGCGGTACGTGCTACGTCGAGGTGTAGAGAACGCGCGAGAGAAAGAGGAACCGAGTCTCGAGCTCTATTTCGCGGTAGGTTCCCACCTATGGTACCTCCCCTCTACCCTCATCGTGCTCCTACCCCTTACAGCGCCCATAGGGGCACCATCGCCTCTGTATGGAGTGGGGTGGGATCCTGGGCCACTTTGACGACTATCCTCCCTGCTCCCGAATCCCTTTTAGGTGGGAGAGAAGGGGGTGAGGTGGGGAGGCCTCACCCCACCCTCATGACGAACACGGAGCGATATCACCAAGCCTCCGAGTCGAGAGCACGTCATTCGTCTCGCTGCAACTCGCTCGGATGTCGAATTTTGATTTTGTCACTTCCGCGAAGAACACGTGGAACACAGAGAATGGGAGCGAATCAGTTTCGGTTAAGTCTGGGTGAAAGATCGCCGGGACCGAACGTCATATAATGTAATCGAGATCGAGATTGGGACGATCTTGTTTTTGTTGCACGCGATTAAATTATTTTATTATTATCGACAAATCGTGATGATAGCAATTTGAACGTTACATGGACGTTACATGGACAGACAAGATATCGTTCCGAATTCTACGAATAAAATTTCTGATACATTTCATCGTGAGATTCCTCAAATAATTGACTCGAAGGAACACACACACACACACACACACACACACACACACACACACACAATACAATATATTTTCTATCGTATATAACCCTTGTCTCTTTAAAATTAAAGCTTATATACATTCGCTTATATACATTTGAACTCGTGGAAACGATCTAATTAAACGTATCATTTTCATTATTATACATTTTGTACATGTGTACATATCGAATGTGTTTTAAAAGAAGCATAATATCATTGATTAAAAAACAAAATTCAATTTTTAAAATTCTTAATATTTTTATTAATATTAATATATGTAATATATGTAATGTAATATATTAATATATGTAATATATGTATAATATATGTAATGTACATTTTTTTAAGCGATTAAACTTAACGTTAAATCTCATTTTTCATTTCGAAAGCATGTAATAGCAATCTATATATAATCTTTTATTTCATTAGAAATATTACATGTACAATGTTAAATTTAAAAAATAAGTGAATTATAACCCACCGAGTTACATAACAAGAAATGCATTTCTTCTTATTTGCAGACATAATCTTTGTGAAAGATGAATTTCACACCTTTCCCTGGATTTACTGGCTCGCTGCCGACAGGCACCGTTCATCAATTCGCCACAGCTAAATTCGCACAGAATCTTACCACTGGAGGACAAGTAGTCGGAGTTTTATCTGGTGGTGAAGGTGGAGTTCATTATCTAAGGCCAGTCGATCCTAATGGCTTTGCCGTAGCTCAGAGTGGTAACAATCAACAACAAATTATTACTTTACCCATCACTGTTCCGGGTAAGGATGGTACGCAGCAACAGCAAACTGTCCAGATACAAGTAGTCAATCCTAGTGTATCTCAAAGCGGAAATAGCGGCGATCAGCCAAAATATCATTTGGCACCGATATCTTTAAGCCAGTTCCCGCAAGGAGCAGCTACTGTTCTCACCGTTGCTTATAGTCAACAGGGCGCAGATGGTGTTCAAATTCAAGTGCAACCGCAAAACACCGTAGCGACTACGCAAACGTAAGTTCACCGTTAAACATTTATCTAACGTCGTGTTTCATAACACTTTGCATTACGTGTGCAAAGTGCAAAAAACAATATTTTTGACAAAGTTAAAGAAAAGACTTTAATAATTGATTATCCGCTATTCTCGATTACAGATCTGATCAAACGACACAAAGTACGTCTACTGCGGTGACTACTACGTCTCAACAGACTATTCAACAGACGGTGCAACTTCCGGGGGCGCCTGAAGGTCTAACCGTGGTCGCCCAAATTCCTCAAGACTTGATTCTACGAGAGAGCATAGAAGAGTCCAAGGAAGATGTGAAGGAGGGTACGACGCCAGTGGCTCTTATCAAGCGAGGCAGTGTCAAGAGTCAAGGTAATCAGAGCGGGGAAGAGTTTATTACTTCTATGCCTGCCAGTTGGCAGAGCCTCGCTGCTCCAGGATCCACGGTCGCGGATTATCTCTCTAGACTGCCCACTAGTACTTTGCCCCTTAGTTTGCAACACTTTCTCAAGTTTTCGGCGGAGACTATAAAAAGGGAAGCTACTATTGAATCCAGTCCGCTCGGAGCGGATGGTCTCGACGCTTCCGGAAGCGCAGCTTCGGGGGAGCAAGCTGTAATTACGGTCGCCGGAGGAGAAACGGCGATTATTCCTGATGTTGTCGAAGAACAGGAACCAGGAACTAAACCGAAACGAAAAAGAAATACAAGAAAAAGCCACCAAAACCGAAGAACCAAAACCAGGCCAAGTAAGCATAGTTACAGCTCTCGATGGTACGACTCTATTTTGCTGCCCCCAATGTAATATGGCATATCCAGAGAAAGAAAGTTTGGAACAGCATTTGATTGGACACAAAATAGAGAGGAGGTTCATATGCGACATTTGCGGCGCTGGTCTTAAGCGAAAGGAACATCTGGAGCGACATAAATTGGGTCATAATCCTGACAGGCCTTTTATTTGCTCCGTTTGCATGAAGGGTTTTAAACGAAAAGAGCATTTGAATCTTCATTTTGTTATACATTCTGGACAAAAGACCGAAGTTTGCACCGAATGCGGCAAAGCGTTCTATCGGAAAGATCATCTTAGAAAGCACGCGAGATCTCATCTTGCTAAGCGTGCCAAAGAAGATCCATTAAACACGAGCGATACTACGCAAAATCAACAACAGGCGGATCAACAACAACAAGTGGAACAAATGCAACAACAATCTTCGGTGCCCGAATTGCAGCAAATTCAGATACAAGTGGGACAAGGATCTCAAGCGCAGATTCATCAAATCTCCGTTAGCGAGCAGTCTACTGTAGTTTTGCCTACAGCCGCTGAAACTGGCGCTATGACTATGCTTCATCATCAACAACAGCAACAGCAATCGCAACAGCAGCAGCAACAGCAGCAGCAATCGCAGCAACAGCAGCAGCAATCGCAGCAGCAGCAACAGCAGCAGCAGCAACAGCAGCAGCAACAGCATTAGCAACAGCATACCGCCCCAAATCAACTTGGGCGGTACTTTCGTTTCAATCATCAGCACGCTAGAGGTCGTACACGACATAGCGTACTTGCTGATTGAGTTTTGCAATTCGATAGGCAAATTCGTGTTATATTAACGGAAGTTTCGTTGGCTAGTTGATTGTTTCGCAACCTCTTTCAAAAGCATTTGATTGAAATGGCTCCATTTCTTTAAAATGTACATCCTGTCCATCGACATAAAGCCGGTTGGGATTTGGAATCCTCGCGTCATCGGCTTAATCACCTTTAATCACGACACAATAAGCTCGCGTACGTGTTTATAATAATTATCCTGTAAAGCGCGCACCGAGCTACAGCGACAAGCTTTCATTATATATACCAGTTTCCCTTTTACGTACACGTTGTAGCGTACGTAAAAGGAAGCGATAACCGCCGTACGCCTCGAATAGATGTCTTTGTCGCTGATCCAGTTCCATGACGCAAGTTAGAAATAAAAAAATATGAAGTTTATATAAATATATATATAAATATATAGATATACACACAAGAGCAAAAATATATATTTTTGAAAGCGCGAACTGGATTCGCCCGAGATAACAAGGCGATCGAGTTTTGGGCTAGTAATAATTCGCTTTTACGACGGATGAAATACGTAACGAAGAAATTAATGCAAGAAAATACGGCGTGGAACACAGAGTTTGTAAATACAAGCGCGACTTTTCATCCCTGATGAGGGAGAAGATGTAATATTCGTACGTGTCGTATGCGCGAGGTGAATCTTATTTATTTCTCTTATACAACAAAATCATGATGTTACAAGAGAATCTGCCGATAAACTGTCAAATCCAATTTGTATTTTGTAGGAATATATCGACAGGAAGCATGCTTATACATTTTGTCTGTAATTTACCTAGATCATTGCACATGTTTTCATAAAGGAGACGCAAATCGTTAGTGACGATGGTGGATAGAACTTGAAACTATTCAGATAATGAGATAGTGAGAGGATCGTGGAGACTCTTGGAGAAACCAAAACGTTTAAATACTTTTTCAAGTATTGGAGGAAAAAATTTCAAGTTATCAACTGAAACGCATTTGCGTGACGATGCACGCTGCTCCGAGATCGACGTTTCTACAATACGACGTTTCTCGATAATTAGTCCGCGGAAGTTTGCCGATTCATATTTTCATTCATGATTGATTTAATACCAATGTTCGCAGAAAGAAGCACCGATTATTACGATCAAGTGCGAGGTACTTTAAAATTCGTTTTAATTGAGCATGTATGAGATGTGGTATAATAAATGAGATGTAAAACTATTAGAAAAGGAGAATGGAAAATGAAATCTTTGAATCTTGAATTCGATCGAATCAATCGTGATTCACCTGAAAAAACTTTTTGATAAAGGTGTGTGTATACATCAAAAAACTTATTGTAAGTATCACAATTAAAGGCAATGGGTATAACTGTACAAGAAATATTATTATTTTATTATCATAATATTATATAGATATATATCATTATCGTAGTTAGGATAAATAGAATATAAGTCATTTTCATTGTTACTTACATAAATATTGGAGGAGAGAAAACTGAAATAAAACATACATTTAATACAAAACTATTCTCATCTGCAGTGGAATTCATGTTATGTCATACATTTCTCTTTAATCACATAGATTATTCCGTTATCTTAGTTCAATGCGCCTGAATAAAAACATCGAAAATTACTTATACTGTGATATGCGAAAAGATCGAATCGGTCGGATGAAAGAGAATGTGTGAAAAGGCATGGAGTCGGAAAGAGTTTTGAGTTGAATTCCGATGTTCTCGTTGCTCGATTCGGGTATTTTCGCCATGATGACGATTAGGAGACGAGACGCGGCGCGGCGGCTCGACTCGGTACGGGGTGGGCGGGATGTGCGGGACGGTGCGGTGCGGTGCGGTACGGTGCGGTGCGGTGCGGTGCGGCGTGGCGCGGCGCGACGCGACGCGATCCGGCGCGTCGCATCGCATCGAGAATCGGGAGACCCGGGAGAGAGAAAAAATAGTTAAGAGGCTGGCACAGTAGAGGGCGGATGGGTGGGATGGGGACACCGGCTTGAGAGACAGGTGTCAATGATACACCGTACAACGAGGGACCTTTTCCGATAATAGCCAATTGCGTGAAAAGAGATACATCCAGGCGAGTTCGAGTGAGGGTTGCAAGTTACCGAATGGTAAGCAGTAAACCCATATATTACATTTCGGTTGCGCGTGTAGTACGCGCGAGACTACGAGCCACACGCACGGCCATTTTCTCTCGAGTTTAGTGCGGTGACGGCTCTACGTTACGTATCGACTAAGTATCGGTTGGAGAGTGGAGTGGGGTAGGGTGGAATGGGGTAGGATGGAATGGAGTGGAGTGGAGTGGAGTGGAGTGGAGTGGAGTGGAGTGGAGTAGAGTGGAGTGGCGTGGAGCGCAGCGGAGTGCAGCGGAGCGGAGCGGAGCGGAGCAGAGCGGAGCAGAGCGGAGTGGAGCGGAATAGAACAGAGCGGAGCAGCGGAGAGGAAGGGTGGCAATTACTTCCCTACGTGTGTACTCTGTATCCCGATCCCGTTTCTTTTGACAATTGGCTCCTTTTCGCGCGCGCCAGCACCCTGTTTTCTCACAGCTATTTTTCATCAGCGGCTTTTTTTATCGCATCGCATCGCATCTTTTTCTTTTCATCGACATATTCTTAAGTGCTGACCGGTAAATCGCGTTCCTTGCGCGCACAAAAAGGGTGAGCCGTGGCACGCGTCCTTGGCCGCGAAACACCGGTTGGCAATCGTTTCGTCAGGCTGACACCTGATACTAACTAGCGAGTGTCAGTATTCAAAGCGACGACTAAGCTCGAATTTCGAGTGCGAGCCGAG